TTATGCTGGGGTTGCCTTTGCACACACGGAGACAATGAAGATGGATGGCTTGGGACCGGGCCCAACCTCCTGGGGCTGGCTTCACCCTCTTTTATTATAGTCCCTCTTTCTTTCTCTCTTCCTCTTTTCCTCTCTACTTTCTTTCCTTTCTGGCTTTATTTGCCTTTTATATGCCCTTCTTTTTTTTTGTTTCTGTAACTTTATTCCATCTCTTTCTGTGTTCTTAAAGCAAGTATAGAGAGAGGGCCTCCCCATGCTCCAAGTTCTTTGCCCCCAATCCACCCTCACTCCTACCCCCACCACCACCTTCTGCTACTAATGTCTCTCTTGCTGTTTGGGGATTTGCTTTGGTCAAACGGAGGAATGCTTCTAAAGGGAATTTAAAGGAAAAAAAAGTTGGCTTTTTTTTCTGGGGAGCTGCACCCCCTCCCTCTTTGGTCTGTGTGACTTCACTGTTTATGGGCAAAGATGTTTATTTATTTAGTCTTCAGGAGGCCAGCAGGAGAAAGCAGCCTCCTCCCTGAGGGCCTCCCCAGCCACTGAAGCCAAACTCAAGAGCTGTATTCAGCTGAGGATTGCCTCTGGCAGCATCCAAAGCAGACTGAGACTGAGGCCCTTCTCCCCAACTGGATCAGGGCAGTGCTGGCTCAGGTCCAGCCTTATTTGCATCTCTCTCTCTCTCTCTCTCTCTCTCTCTCTCTCTCTCTCTCTCTCTCTCTCTCTCTCTCTCTCTCCCTCCCTCCCTCCCTCCTCCCTTCTTTGCCTTCTTCCTTTCCTCTGTCTCTCTCTCTGTCTCTGTCTTTACCAATCCTTCTCTCCCTCGTGAACACCAGAGTTCCATTGGCAAAGCAGGAGTTGGGAAGAACATTACCCCTTTACCCTTTGGGTTGCTGCTTGGACTTACATACAACCCCTTGGCTGCCCTTTGAAGCCATACAAAGGGCCAGATACATGTATATATATATATATATATATATATATATATATATATATATATATATATATATATATACATGTATATATATATATATATATATATATATACATATATATATATATATATATACATATATATATATATATACATATATATATATATATATATATGCAGTCAGTGAGTCTTCCAGTGAGAGACAGACAGGGACTCTCTTGTACTATCACATACATATATATATTCACATTCAGCAATAGAACTTTAAACTCTCTCCAAGTTACACAGTATGCCTGTCTTTCTCAGTGTCTACTGCTCTATGTGTGATATGTCTTTCTTTTTCCAACACTGTGTAGCTGTCTGTTTCTTACTCTTTGTTTCTATACCTCCCTCCTCCCTTTCTCCTCTTTCTGCCTTTCTCCTTTCTCCCCCCCTTATTCTTCTCTCTCTTTTCCTCCCTTGCTCTCCCTTTCCTTTGGTCTCTCTTTTCTCTATCTTGCTCCTCTCCTCTCCCCCTCTCTTTCCCTCTCTTCCTTCCTTCTCTCTTTCTCTCCCTCCCTCCCTCCTTTCCCTTCTTTCCTTCCTCTCCTCCTTTCTCTCTGTATCTACAGATCTGCCTCTGTAGGTGACCAACATCCATTCCTTCCCCACCCTTAATCACTTAATGTTACCTCCTACACTAGGCCTTTCCCCCCTCAGATACATCTCACCCCTGATTCCTCTGGCTCAGCCATTGCCACATATTCTGTGGGTGCTCTGGAGAAAAGATCTGGAATTAAGTTATATCCGAGAGGGGAAGTCATTACATCTAGAGGAGTGATGTGGTGCACTGAGAGCTACCCTATATGGGAGATAAGGTGGAAATAAGGGAGGAGCTTCATCACTAAAAGATGGAAAGTGCCTCTGAGCTTTGTGCTTGGAGGAACTAGGAAGGATGGATATTCTGTGATAAAGTGTGGGTTAGAACTGAGCAGAATAACCAGAGACAATCTGGGAAGAGAACTGAGCTAATTGAAGGTGGGTTCTTGAGGACACCCATTTCCAGGATCTGTTCTCTGTTCAGAAAGCTACAGGGCAAGCCCTAAAGGTGTAGGAAACATTGGAGGACCTAGGTTAGAAGGGGTGGAAAGATGCCAGATCACAGGTTTAGACCATTCTGAAAATGGTCCCCTCTGTTACTTTCCCCCTTTTCTTTCTTTCTCTCTTTCCTTTTTTCTTCCCTCTTCTCATCTTTTTCTTCCTCCTCCTCCTTTTTATTCTCTCCTTATACTCCTCATTCTTCTCTTACATTTCTTCTCAATCTTTTCTCCTTCTACTGCTGCTGTTGCTCTTCCTCCTCCACCTTCTCTTTTCTCTTAATTTTCTTCTCTGTTATCTCTTCTCTCTTCCTTCCCCTTCTTCATTTTTTCCTTTCCCTCTTACTTCTCATTTTCTCCTTTTCTTCTCCTTTTCTCATTTATCTCCCCTATGTTCTTTTCTCTCCTCCTCCTCCTCCTCCTCCTTCTTTCTTCTTCTTCTTCTTCTTCTTCTTCTTCTTCTTCTTCTTCTTCTTCTTCTTCTTCTTCTTCTTCTTCTTCTTCTTCTTCTTCTTCTTTTCTCTCCCTCCCTCTCATCTTCTCTCCCTCTCTCCCTCCCTCTAACTTGGTATCGCTCCAGATATTGGCAGTGACTGCCGCCATTAGGTAAGGGGAGAAAGTCAATTAGCCAGAGGATTAATTACTGTGAGACTGCAAGAGCGGTTTGTCTTCTTTTCTTCCCGGAGCTCTTGTGTGAGCGCGCCGCGAATGCGTGTCCGCACAGTACACAGACAGCAACACGTGTATGTACCTAAATATACACGGTCATACCATTTTAACACGCTTTATTTATTTGTAGGGCTTCTGCGCATAGCCCCTCACACTCTCTTCCACAACCAAATCGAATCTCCCATTGTAAATGTTCCTCTTTCTCCTTTATGCGATCACCACGCCTTACACACACTCTCACTTTCACGCTTGTCCCTCCTCATAGCCTAACTGGATCTGTGTCCCCTCTGCCTCGGTGTCTTCCTCAGTCTTTGCCTCTCTCCCTGTGCCTTTGTGTCTGGGCAAATGGCTGTTTGTCCGTCTTTCTTATACACACACGCCCGCCCGTACATAGACAGTCAGAGGCTGAGACGGAGAGAGACAGAAGGAGGCGGGGGAAGGGGGGGGGATGAGGAAAAGAGAGAGAACAATCCCCTGATGAATATTTCTGCATACTTTCCCCCTCTTTTTCTGTAAACTTGCATCTTGAACTTTCTGTTCTCTCTCATTCATCCCAGAAAGCTATTCCAAGAGGAACTCTCCTACCCTCCGCCCCAGCTCACCTGTACGGGGAGGCTGGGGGACAAATGCAGAGTGCTCAGGGGCGTGGTGCCCCGACACCGTTCCTAGTCTGGACCACATCCGGGTGCCTCTGGGCTCCCTCTTGGTACCTAGTTTCCCCAGGCCAGGCCGGCTTTCTCTCCCAGGGGGAAGTAGTGTTCTTGTCTAGCACGAAAACCCTGGAGACTAGAAAGAGAGAACTCTGGTGACAGACCGAGAGAAAGAGAAACTGGCAGGGGGCAGAGGAAGCGAGGGGAAAAAAAGGTGGAAATGCAGACAGCCACCCCGTAAAAAGAGAAAATTCCTCCGACAAGTTGCCAGAGCAGGGTGGCTCAAGGAAGTCTCTTCTCTCCCAGGCTGCCTTGGTTTCTGTTGGGCACCAGTAGGGTGGGAAGTTTTCGGTTCTCCTGGCAAAGGCCAAACCCAAAGAGCACCAGCCCTGCTTGCGGTCCTAAAAGCCTCCCTTCTTCGAACTTTGAGGCCCTTTCTGGATAACTCTGAGTTGATTAGGAGGTAGGGACCTTTTGGATTTCTTCTCATCTGACGGGACCTGCCCCAGGGGAACCAGCACAGCCAGGGCTAGGAGAGCGTCAGAACACTCTCTGTAGAACACCAGCTTAGTATTGGAGACGAAAGAACTGGTCTTGAAAATAGGAATACCTGGATTTTAATTCTGACTCTGTCACCTACTTGCTGAATGACCTTGAGCAAGTCACTTTACATCTTAAGGGCCTCACTTTTCTCCTCAGTTAAATGAGGGGGTTAGACTAGGTAATCTATAAGATTTCATTCAACACTAACATTCTGTGATCTTGCTTAATAAAGGACGGGTGCCCTCTCCAAGAGACCAGAAAGACACTGAGTAATATCTGAGGGAGATAGAGACAAGAGAGCAAGGTTGGGCAAGAGGAGAAAGGCGTGTTGTGTGTATTGCCTGCAGACTCAACTCGGACCCATCCAGTTCTACCGTCCGCAGGGGACCTGGGCTATTTGTTAAAAGTCCCTTTCACTCCAACCCCCAACACTGTACTCACACACTCTCTGAAGGGGAAATCGAAGTATTATAGAATTCTGAGGACTCCCTCAGTCCCTTGGATCTTACTTGCTGCTTCCTAGGAGAGAGAAACCAGGACGTTGGGAAGATCTGATCAGGTCCTTCTCGTGCCTTTGGGGCTGGGTGGGAGGAAAACTAGGAACTATTAAGAATGAATGCCAAAGTGGCTGAGCAAGAAGGCCTTCCAGACGTTGGTGAAAGAAACCCTTCGTGGGGCAGCATCGGGTCTACGAATGATTGTGTCCATATCAGTGTGAGTGTGCCGTATGTCCCTGTATGTTTGTGAATGTTAATGACATGCTCTGTGTATATGCATACATAACACATTAGAGTGTGGCTGAGCAAGGGAAACTTGTGCAGCCGGTGGACTGGATGAGCGGTGCACTCGCCACGATTCCAGTTCAGGGGCTTTCAGGTAAATTAGGTAAAATGTCACTGCTCCAGTATTCTACACAAACAGAAGACTCAGGAAGCTGATGGAATGTTGCTGTAAAAGGTCTAAATTTAAGTTCTAATAGGGTTGCCTGAAAATGAGTCTGCCCGCTTGAGTCCTCCAATTCACCTTGGGAACCTGCTAAGTCGTCTTGGGAGATGCAAGAGACAGATTCCTAATTTCTTAAAGCCCTCCTCCCTCCTTCGCTGCACTCCACAATAATACGAATAGCCTGTGTGTGAACCATTTTGCATATTTTAATGAGCTATATAAACACCAATTATTGCTTTTGACTTTTTGGTCTGCTCTCCAAGTGGGTACCGGGAGGTGGGGTGAGTTGAGTGGCATAAGCAGGAACCGCGAGTTGGTGCCCGCTTTAGTCCCTTGCCCCCAAATGGGCTGCAAGTTCAGGATACCGTCCCTGAGCCGCCCCCTTTCCACCCACACGCCTCCGAGGCTCAGGCTTCGGGAGGGGCGGTAGCCCGGTCCAGCTGTCACCCTATAGGTCCCCAGCCCCCAGGGTTCCCCCTGTTTTGCATGAGAAGGAACCCAGCTGGGCCGGGGGCGGGGGGTGAGCCGCCCCGGACTCGGGTAGCTATTGATTCTAGGGAGGGGCGGTTGGGTCGAGGGAGCCAGCGGGCGAGAACCCGGACAGCTGCGGGGGAGAAAGGGCCCCGTCGATGGGACAGCCGTCTCACCCCAGACTCGAACTTTGACCTCAATGGGGAGAGGTAGTTCGGGGGCCCTTAAGCGTCTAAGGACAGTGGAAGAAACTGCTTCGGTGCTGGAGCCTCCTCTTCCAGTAGTCCAATTTTCTACTGGATGCTAGGTCTGCAGACAGAGCAGAAGGAAGCAGTCACCCGAGCCTCGGTCTCTTCCCAATTTTCCCACCCCGAAACGTAGACATCAGGGGCCCGATTCCTGGAGAGAGACTCATAGAGCTTAGAGGACTTAGTGAACTGGTTGAGAAACTTTTTAATTGCGGTCTCCGCTGCCCCTGGGGTTCACACGTGGGGAGGAGGAGAAAGGAGAAGAATTCAGCCTCTCCCTCCATCCTAAAAGGGATAAGGTCCGGGACAACCGTACACCCGGAGACAGAAGGAGAGAGAGGTCAGGGATGGCAGGCAGCGAAAGGTCTGGGCCATAGATCTCAGGTTTGGTTTTAACTAAAAGGTGGCTGCCTCAAAGGCCTGCGCTGTCCCTGCTCGTCAGAGGAGTGCCGGGTTTCTTTCTCGGAGGAAGAGTAAATGAAAGGGGAGTCTAGAGGACCCGAAACCCTGAAGGCCGTAACGAGTCAAAGACAAATTCGCTGTAGCCGTTTCTCGCTTTCGCTGGAAGAGGTGATTCGAGTTCCTGGGGACAAGTCTTTTCCCCGGCTCCCAGCCGGGACACCAAGCCCACTCCGGGCTCCCTGAGCTGCTGCTCTGAACCTCTCTTTGCTTAGGATAGCCTATGTAGGGCTGGCCCTCAAGGTCACCTTAGTCAAAGAAATGACAAGTCCCTTATGGAAGGAATTGGAAGCCGCCGCCGCCGTCGCCAACCCCGGCCTCTCTAGATGGTACACCATGCGGAAATGTGATCTCGAGGCGGAGAGGGAAGTACCGGGAGGAGAGCCGATCCGCCTCGAACAACTAACCATCTGCAGGCCCCATCTCAGGAAAAATCCAGATTAACAGCGGAGACTGAGTGCCTGAAACGGAATTTAGGGTTGAACAGATCTGCAGCAGGGACCAATCTGGTATCTCGAGGTGCCGGTTTCCTGCGTGCCCGACTCATTCCGCACCGCTCCCCCTTCCCCCCTCCCCATCAGCCCATTCCGAGCTACACAAGACGCCAGAGCACACCTCGGAGGGAAATTGCCCTGGCACTGGAGAGGGTTCAAGAACCAGCCTTGGGACCTGAGTGAAGGGGAGTTAACAAGACCCTAGTAAAGGACGATCCAAAGCTTTGGGAGCATGGGGAGGGAGGGGAGATCTGAGAGTCAATTACCTTTCCCCAGTGCCCAATAAGCTCTCCGGCATTTCAGGCTGCCTAGGGCACCCCCGAGAGCCTCCTTCAATCTCCCCTCGGAGCCGCCGCGGGAGTTACTCCTACGACTTCTCGCCGAGCCATTTCATACTGAATTGAAGTTTCTCGGCTCACAAGTTTTCTCACTGGTTCTTGCCTTGGCTGCAACTCCTGATCCGCCGCGCTGTTCCCGTTCTAGCCGTCCCCTCCCCCCAACACACACACACACACGCACACACACACACACACACACACACACACACACACATACTCTTGGCCTCTGGCCTCCAGCCCCTCCACCTTCTCCCCACTACCACCACACCCCCGCTCTCATCTGTGAAGCGTCTAAACAACTTTCATGGAGCGCCCAGCGGGGGGGAAGGAAGCAAAGCCTTCCAGAGCACGGAGTCCCTTGGACGTGGCTGGGGAGGGGGGGAGACTAAGGGAGGATGGGGAAGAGGAGAGTGGCGATTCGAAGGGCAAAGGGTGAAGGCCCGAGCAAATAGCAGTAGGGAGGAAGAAGTTTCGGCTGCCCACCGTACTCTCACCAATTTCCCCAAAAGACGCGCTCTGTGCTGCAGACCCCAGGAAGAGACAAATAAGTCCCCATTGCATTCTTAAACCCGACCATGTGCCCAGATCCAATCCCGTGCTTACCAGCGATGTCACGACCCTGGACAAGGCTCGGTCCTCCAACTCCCGCCCCCGCCCTCTCCTCCCCCCCCCCACAGCCCTGCAGCTACCTGGCCTCTTGTCCCTAGCCTCCCGCGTTTCTTTCTCCCAGGCTTGCTGTTGCCTTACCCGGTCAGGACTGGTCTCCGGGCAGCCGCACCACGCCGCGCCGCGCACTTTGCGGCGGATCCCGCGGCTGATTCTCTATAAGCGGTCTCGCTGCTCTCTCCCCGGCCGCCGGGATGGATAATGGTTTACAGAGGGACCGCGAGACGCTGATTGGCCGCCGCCCGCAGTGACGTCGTCGAGCGCTGCATTAAGGCTAGGGGGCTTCCAGAGCGGCTGGGAACAGCCGAGAGCAGTGACGAAGCCGCTGGAGCCTGGGAGAGACGCACGGACAGGGACGGGGGACTGGGGACAGGCACTCAGGGAGAGAGACAGCCACGAGCCGCGGCGGAGGCAGCAGGAGACACAATCTGTGCAAACCTCGTAGAAGCGGTGGTCACTAGGACTATAGGGATTTCTTTGGCGATCTGTAAGGACCTGCCCCTTCTCTAACCCTTCCAGGAAAAAAAAAATTAGGAGGCGAGAAAGGGCACTGGTATTTGCAACCTCAACCAAAAAAAAAAAAGGCGGGAGGGGGGAGAAGGAAAGAAGGAAAAAAGAAGTGGGCAAAAAACCTCAGTTCTGCCCCAACCCCCATCCCCAGCGATTGCCTCCTGGACACTCACCCACATCCACAAAGCTGGCCGAGCAATGCGGGACTGCGCGCGGAGCTGGCGGGAAGCTGTGACCAGAGAAATGGTTGACCGGGCGCGCTGAACTGAGGATCCGGCCTCCCTGGCAGCAGGAGCAGAACGAGAGGGGAGTACGTACAGCCCGCCGGGCCGCCCCGAAGAGACCCAGGCAAAGGGGCCGTGGGCAAAGGAGGGGCAGCTAGCGTGCCTCTAGGCGACCTTCCTAGTGGCAGCCTCTCTGTCCAGTTTTTATTGATAAAAACATTGCTTTTTTAAAAAGACAACAACAACAAGCAAAACCAACAAGCCAACAGGAGCTTTCCCCTCCCTCCTCCCCTTGTCGCCTCAGCTGGCGCCTTCTGTCTTGCTGCCCCCCTCCCTCCTTCGCTCCATCCCCATCCCCATCCCCACCCCCCTCTTTCAGGCCAAGTGCTGCGTTCCATTCTCTTTCCCCACCCGCACCCCCCCCCCCCTCGACCCACTGGGCTATGCTGGAAGTTTAGGATCCAAAGCTCTTTCACTCATTTTTAAATTTTCATTTATTTCCCCCCCCTTTTAAATCGCTTTGTGGAGAAACACGCGCGCGCGCGCACACACCTGCACCCCTGAGACACTCAGACAGAGACACCCCAAGACAAAAGCAAATGCACTTTGACTTCTGACTGCGCCTACCTCAGACCTGAGAGAACTCATCGCTTGCGTGGTTTCCGTATAGACCGTTCTCCACTGTCTTCTTGCCTCTCCGACTTTATTTATTTATTTTGGTTCCCGCGGTTCTCGGTGACCTTCATTCTTCAGCCAGCTCCTTGCCCACGGGTCGATCTCCCCTCCGGGATTCCGTCTCCCAGCCCCAGGAGTTGCGCCTGCCCCAGTTCTGACCCGAGGACTACTCCCGCCCCCCTCCTCCTGGACCACGCTTTTTCTTTTTTCTTTTTCTCCTTTTTTTCTCCTATCCTCTTCGGTTTTGTTTATTTTTCGTTTAAAAAAAAACGTTTTGGTGTGCGTTTTCGATTCTGCGAATCTGTCTGTCTCTCTGTCTTTTTTTCTCACCTCTTTTTTTTTTGAGGGAAGAGGAGGGTGGTTGGAGGCTCCTGCTGGTCCTCTTCAGGGGGTCGCCTCCTCTTCTCGACCTGCCTGCCCTGTTCTGAGCCCCCGATCCTCCCCTTCCCCTGCAATTAAACCAAAGACAATGGTGCACTGTGCCGGCTGCAAAAGGCCCATACTGGACCGGTTTCTGTTGAACGTGCTGGACAGGGCCTGGCATGTGAAATGCGTTCAGTGCTGTGAATGTAAATGCAACCTGACCGAGAAATGCTTCTCCCGGGAGGGCAAGCTCTACTGCAAGAACGACTTCTTTCGGTGAGTGACTCCCCTTTCTCCCCTCTCTCTTGCCCTGCTCCTCCTTCCTTCCCTCTGATCCTCCTGCCCACCGCTGAGCCCTGCCTCAGGCTTTAGGCGGGAGGGAGCCGGCAGCCAGAGACCTGGCTTTTAGGGTTCTCGGGCAGTTTGGGTGGACGAGCTGGAAGCACCCGGCCAAGGGCTAAGATGCTCAAGTCCTCTGGAAGGAGCTGCCTCCAAAGTTGTCCGCCAAGTCCCGCGGGGCTCTCAGAGGTCCGGGACCTTGGTGCCCTGCCTCTCCTCCAACGTACCCTTGCGCCCAAAGATCGAAGACACAGAATGCTGGACAAACCCCGACTTTCATTTTATATTTATTTTTGTTTCTCCTCTCCACTCTATACCTCTCCCCACCTCACCCCCTCTCCTCCTCCCCGGGCTCACTTGCAAGGGGCTTTTTAAGTTCAGTGCGGAGCCTGGAAGCGGCTCAGGCCTCCAGAGGTTGGAGGGCAACCGCAGGATCAGTCCCTTGCTTTTGGCTTGGGCCTCCCTCAGATTCTTGTCACCTTCTTCGCTCAACTCCAGTGAGGCCCTAGCTTTGACGACCTCCTGACCTCTTGCCGGCCTGGGTTGGAGTAAGCAAACCTACGAGGAGACCAGGGAACTCCAGAACCCCTAGCCCTCCCTATTTCTCCCCCACTATCCTATTACTCGCCACTAGCTTCCAAATCACCGGCCAGATCTTGGAGACATACTCGACTGGGCCTGTTGAGGAGAAATCTCTTCCTGGGTTTTGCTAGGAGCGCTGCAGGAGCGGAGGGACAACCAGGCCCTAGGTCTCAGAACCAGGGTCGGTAATCGGAAGAGCAAGCAGAGCAAATCTAGGCTTCAGAGCCTGGGGCTTGGGGCAGCTTTTACTGACGCCACCCGGTCTTCTGGGGAAAACGAGTAACTGGAGCCTCGGCCAGGACCGAGGAAGCTTCAGGCCAACCAGTATTCGAAGCAGTTCCTACCCCCTGCCCAGGCACCATCACCCCCTACCATCAAACTCTGTGCACCCTTGGCTGGGCTGGAAACTCCTACTAGCCCAGGCTACCAGAACCTGGATGCTAGGAAATCCTGCGCGGGGCTCCGCTGGTTTCCCGGACTGGCTCTGGGTTGGACTGTTCTGGGTTCGGGGAGCAACTTGGCTCCTAGCCCAGCCCCGGATCTGTTCCCAAGGCTTCTTTCTGATTCGTTAGGGGTTTGCCTGCGGTGAGATTGTCAGGCTTCTGACTTTTTTCACGTTTGGACGCTGTGAACCGCCGGCCGCGGGATCACTCCGACGGTTCTCAAAGTGGCCTAGCAACCCAACGCAATAAGCTTCTCCTGGCTATCACCTCCTCTAGTTTCATGTCCTTTAAATTAATCTAAACTCCCCTAAATTGCCCTCCATTTTTTTTATGGGCAAGATTTAAGTACCGGTAAAAAAAAGTTTTAAGTCTTGAGAGCAGGGCTATCCTCTTATTCAGACGAAAATGTCAGCTCTGCTCTTCTTGGAATTTTGAGTAGCAAGCCGAAAAGGAATTTTTAGTTTGAAGTTTGGTTGTGGCCCGTGTTGCCCCTAGGGCATGGGACTTAGGTGGTCTAGACCCGCAAAACCTGACCCGAGATTTGTGCCCTGGGGCACGGGTGGCTTTCCAGGGAAGAAACGTGAACGTTTTCCCCAGCCCTGAGAGTTGGGGGGTGGAAGACAAGGGAAAGGAGACTTTTTCATTGAAAAACAAAAGCATCCGGCCTTTCCTCGGATAGAACTGAGGGGAGGCCAAACGAGGCCTAGATCCCAGGACAATTCAGGAACGAAGCTGAGAACAGAGCCCGAGAATCGGGGAATGGAGCGGAGCGGACAGCCAGGTCAGTTAGGAAACGCCGGGCCGGTAGAATGCTGCTCCCTCTTGGGAGGTTTTTTCTCACGCAGGTGGGAGCTGCCTTCTGAGTCCTGGACAATTCAGGGGGTCCAGCGTTCCGCGCACTTCTGTCTTGGTTTCTTGACAAATTAAAACCAGTCTAAATCACAATTGCTTTGGGAGAGGTGCTCAGTAGCCTCTTCGCGAAGGCCCCAAACCCGAAAAGCTACGCTTCCTTGGCAGCCGGGCTTGAGCGCTGGCTTCCACTCCTCTTTAAGTGAACCCGCCCCAGCGTTGTGTAAATAAATAAAAAGGCAGCCTGCGCCGCGACTCTGTGAGTTTATTTATTTACACCGGTTATGGCACCGGGACCTGAGCCAACCAACCCCCTGTGCCTTTAGGTTATTATTTTTTTAGTGGAGGGGGGGAGAGGAGTGAAAAGTGGCTCTCAGTGTGCTTTGCATTGCGCCGTAATTAACACGGGGCGATTATTTTAAATGTTAAAAAGGGATGGGGCGAGAAAAGTTTCCCGAGGCCGAGGCCTGGCCTTGCGCTGAAGCTTTTTGTTTGTTCGTTTGCTTGTTTTTGTTGTTGTTGTTGTTGTTGTTGTTGTTGTTCCCTTGTTCTTCCCTGAGAAGCGAAGCGGGACACTGGTGGGATGCTGGGCCAGATGGGTTCTTTCTAACCTCCTTTTCCTGACCTTTCTGTCTCTTCGCCTCGGGACTCTCCTCCCTGTTTCTATCTCTCCTGCTCCATCCTGCCCTAGTTCTGTGAGAGTCTTTCCATTTCTGTGTGGTTTTCGAACAGCCCTCTCACTTCTTTCTGTTTCTCTGTCTCCGTATTTCTGTCTCTTTCCCCGTTTTTGCCTTCCCCGCCATGCCCCGACGTTTCTCAGTCCTTGTGTCCATCTCTAAGGGTCTCTCAGTCTACCCATCTTGCTTTATGTTTCCTTCTCCTTCTTCCCATTTCCCTTCTTTCCCTTTACCCCGATCTCTCACGCTGTCTTCCTGCTGCTCACCTTGCTCAGTCTGTCTGTATTTTGTCCCCGCCTTGTCTTTCCTGCAGGTGTTTCGGTACCAAATGCGCCGGGTGCGCTCAGGGCATCTCCCCCAGTGACCTGGTGCGGAGGGCACGAAGCAAGGTGTTCCACCTGAATTGTTTCACCTGTATGATGTGTAACAAGCAGCTGTCCACTGGGGAGGAGCTCTACATTATAGACGAGAATAAATTCGTCTGTAAAGAAGATTACCTAAGTAACAGCAGCGCCGCCAAAGAGAACAGCCTGCACTCGGGTGAGGGTCCAGGAGGAGTAGGGGAACTAGGGATGGTGGCGGGGGGGGGGGCCTGCAGGGCCAGAGGAGAGCAGACCAAACCAGAGACACCACTATTGTCAGCCTCTGGGGAGTAGTATCCCTCACCCTGGACGTTTTTCCTAGAGGCCCACTGGGAAAGGGGAAGTGGAGACTGACACTTTCAAGCTAAATCTGATGACAGGGCCTGAGGAGACCAAGTATGTACCAGACTTCTCCCGCCTCCCCCCACCCACAGGTGTGAGAATGGGAGAGGTGAGTTTTGAGGCACTGATGAACAGTCTCTTCCCTCTTTCCAGCCACAACGGGAAGTGACCCCAGTTTGTCCCCGGACTCCCAAGACCCATCCCAGGACGACGCCAAGGACTCCGAAAGCGCCAATGTGTCGGACAAAGAGACAGGTAGCAACGAGAATGACGACCAGAACCTGGGTGCGAAGCGGAGGGGGCCGCGCACCACTATCAAGGCTAAGCAGCTGGAGACACTCAAGGCTGCCTTCGCCGCCACTCCTAAGCCCACTCGTCACATTCGAGAACAGCTGGCACAGGAGACTGGCCTCAACATGCGGGTCATCCAGGTCAGAAACCCAGAAGGGAAAAGGGGAAGGGTGGGGAGCATTTTTTAGTCTGTTTCCGGGGTGGGCATGGTGTTTCACAGTGTCCCACCCGAGCCCTGCTTGCCCCAGGAAGTGATGTTCAGATCTCAGGCTCAGGAGTGTGATGCGTGTGTGCGCCTTCACTCCTTTCCCTTTCTCCTTTCCTATACAAGCTCTCAAAAGGAAGGGCTTGATTGCATGTAGAAAAAAGCTCGATTCCCTCTATAACCTGCCAAGTTTGTTCAGGGAGTGAGAAAGGAAGGGGAGAATCGAGAAAGTGAAGACTGGTGTAGCATAAGATGTGTGTCTTGCTGGCGGGAGAGAGGGGGTGAGGCCGGAGGCTGAGGAACCGGCCCTACACCCCCTGCCTCCACTTGGCCTTTGAAGAACCGAACACTGAAAAGCCAAGCAGGAAATATACCCATCCCGCGCTTTACTTCTCCTTACCGCCCGTTCCCCTGCCGGGAGGAGAAGAGGGGGTGGCCCCGGGGTCGAGGAGGGGCGGAGACTGTCACTGCCAAGCTGAACTGGGCTGAGCTGCGGCTCTAGCCAGGGGATTGAGGGGAGAGGAAGCGAGGCAAATCTGGCCGGAGTGCGAGCCGACGTGGTCCGGTTCCTCTAAAAGCCTCAGAGAACTGTCTGGCCTATTGCCCCCAGTGAACTGGTTCAAGATTAGTACTGAAGGTCTGAACTCCTGACTTTCCCATCCTTGACTCTCCCAGTCGGGAAGAGCCGCTGAGCCCAGAGGAGTTAATGAGTGATGGGCGAAGCTGACGGACTTTGGTTTTGTTTGTGAGCAAAGGAGGAATAATCGCCTTCCCTCACTTACAAAATCAACTTGGTCTGTCTCTCGCCTCTTTATCTCTTTCCCTGTCTTGATGGCTGAGGGAAAAGGAGGGCAGATTTCCCTCTCTCTCACTCTCTTATAAAAGGAAAGGGAATGGAACGCACGGGGGTGGGGGATGCGGTGAAAATGGTCAGGCCAGAAGACTCTTTCCTTCGGTAGCAAGCTCTGGGACGGAGACTGGGAGGGAGAGGTGGGGATGCAGACATCTGGGGTCAGATGGAACTCTTCCGTGGTGTGAAAATGTGAGACTGCATATGAGTAGGACTGTTTAGCTTGAGCTTGTCTGGTTAGGAGGTTCCGTGTGTGTATGAGCTATTGTTACACTTGAGGTTCTGGGTATCTTCGTTCCTGTGTCTGGAACTATATGTATGTTTGAGGAGAGAATGGCGCTGGGTCCACAGGCTTATGTCTATGAGAATGTGTTAGAAACAGATACATACAGCCCAATGTTAAAAGCTCATACGATCCAACTGTCATTCCTTGTCTCACAATCTGAAACTTTACGCCTGCCCATGCATATATTCCTGTCGGTGAATTTGTGTTGGCTTAGTGTGTGTCGTGTGCACCCCTATTATATTCATAGCAATGCAGTGAGCCTCAGGTGGGCTGGGTTCTGCACGGATCAAGGCGACCGGTCCCTGTTTCTGCGTCCGTGACCGTGATAGGGCTGTGACCATAGCTGTCTGTACGGAGAGAAAAAGTTTCCTCGGAAGGAAGGGTCAGGGCTGCAGCCAGAGAGTGGTGGGAGGATGAGAAAGGGAACAGAGAGACATAATTTGCCCTCCTGAACCAACTCTGCCTCATGTCTCGGTTGCCTGCGCCTTGTCACCTCCAGGTCTGGTTCCAGAACCGACGGTCCAAGGAGCGGCGAATGAAACAGTTGAGCGCTCTGGGCGCCCGGCGCCACGCCTTCTTCCGCAGCCCACGCAGGATGCGGCCGCTTGTGGACCGTCTGGAGCCGGGGGAGCTCATCCCCAACGGACCCTTCTCCTTCTACGGAGGTGGGTTAAAGGGCTTTGGACTGGAGGAGGGGAGAAGCCGGAAGGAACTCAGTTCGCTTTAAGCGGGTCTGAGGGAGGGGTAGATGGGGGATGATAGAGACTGAACATCTCATTTCAGCGTGTCACCGCCTGAACCCTTCTCCTCAAACCCAAAGGGGTCGCTCTGGCGCCAGGAATATTCAGGAGACTTTGTTTTCCAAAGAGAAATCGGAAGTTTGGGAGAGTGTATTGGGTCTAGGGTGCGAGGAAGAGATGGTGCAAAGGGACAAAGTTCCTGCTTCCGAATAAAGCCGGTGTGTGTGTGTGTGTGTGTGTGTGTGTGTGTGTGTGTGTGTGTGTGTGTGTTTGAGGTGGGGGCAGGGTGAAAAGTGCTGGAACCGAAGACTAAGGCGCTCTGGGCTGGCAAAATTGAAAATTCTTGCCTACCTCTCCTCTTCCTAAGTTTTGCCGGTGTGCTTACAGTTCTGCTCTGTGCGCTGCAGGGCTAGCAGACAAATTAGCAAACACCTTTAACATTCCTCCGACCCTAGCGGGTCTCATTTCCTCACATCTGGGCAGTGCATTGCTCCCGAAAGCACGAAATAATCCCAGCCTGTTCCTTTTCTATTTACACATGCAAGGCATTCCTCCAGCTCCACCATCTTTCTGTAACTGGGAGAATCTTTGACGCCGGTGGCTCAGATTCCTAGGGAAAGTGCTCCCCCTTACCCATTTCCATTTAATTTCGGATTACTTGGGGCAAAACCAACACCAGGACCCCTTGCCATCTCTCCTGTCCGCTATGTGAGTCTCTGACACTTCTCTTTTCCCTCTTTCCCCCACCTCCTTTTTGTTACCTCCAGATTACCAGAGCGAGTACTATGGCCCCGGGGGCAACTACGACTTCTTCCCGCAAGGCCCTCCTTCGTCGCAGGCGCAGACCCCGGTGGACCTGCCCTTTGTGCCGTCGTCTGGCCCGTCGGGGACTCCCCTGGGAGGCTTGGATCATCCCCTGCCCGGCCACCACCCATCCAGCGAGGCACAGCGCTTCACCGACATCCTGGCTCATCCGCCTGGAGACTCTCCGAGCCCGGAGCCCAATCTCCCTGGACCCCTGCACTCCATGTCGGCCGAAGTGTTCGGACCCAGTCCGCCCTTCTCTTCGCTGTCAGTCAACGGCGGGGCCAGCTACGGTAACCATCTTTCCCATCCTCCCGAAATGAATGAAGCGGCGGTGTGGTAGCCGGGGCCTTTCCTGAGCCAAGCTGCCTGCTGCCTCTGGACTTCCGTGGTTGTACAGAAATGAGTCGTTATTAAAAATACACACACAATAACAAAACAAAAACAAAAAAAAATCCCACAAAAACAGAACCAGCCCCCAAGCAGCTTCCTCTCTTCCCACCGGAGAGACCGTTTTCCTCCTTGAAGTGTGGTAGGAAGGGAAGGGAAGACTTGGGGATGACTGCGAATTGAGATCCGAATGCACGATGAGACGGGATTGGAGTCCCAGCCCCGGGGGCGACGTGCAGGACTTGGGGTGAGTGAACCAGACTAAGGCGCAAACTCAAAAACGTTCCCCAATTCGCGTAAAAACTCAAGGAGGGAGCCACCGCCGGCAATCCAGTGAACTCGCGGAAGGTTGAGGCGAGCTCTAAGGACTAGCCGAACTAAGGACAGCTCCCGGCAGCTCCCGGGAGGAGATGAGGGTGACGATCCGCCGGTCTAACCGGCGCCCAGGATGCACAGAGTGGAGAGGAAGTGACACCGGCACAAGTCGAGAACCAAACTCGTCTCGGAGACCTGAGGAAGTGAAGCGAATCCGAGTCAGGGAGAGGGAAAAGGCCGGTCCTGGAGCATTCATTGCTAGGATGAACGAAGCTTCTAGCTCTAGGAAACCTTCGATTAGTTTTTGTCTCAGAATTTACTAACAGCGACAAACAACAGACTTTTAGCTTCAGAAACACCGATCTGCTGTGCATCAGGTGGGACATTTTTTTTTGTCTGTCTGTCTATCCGGTTCTTTTCGGCCAAAATAACAGAAATACGAAATGCCCTCAGCATCAACTCCACCTTCAACAGCTACACACGAAAACACACACACACACACACACACACACACACACACACACATCCCATTAGGATGATCTCCAGCCAGACCTCTCACTAAAATGACTTGAAACAACAGCTATACAAGAAAGTATTCTACCTTCACGAAAAAAGTTTAAAAAACAAAATAAAGACTATTGAACTAAAAAAACAGTCAACTGTTTACGTATGATGTTAAATTCAGGAGTTCAGTGTTTTACTAATATATCCTGTTTTGAAACCTCTTGTTCAAAAAGCAAAATGTTTTGAGCAACCAACCAAAATCGTTCCTTTCTTTTCCCTTCCTCCCTTTTTCCCGCCCTCCTTTCGTCTTCTGTAGATGTTCTCTGACAGATTCGCAGGGCTTTCGGCTCACTGTGCTAGTTTGTAAAAGGTGTTGTTTACAGGAGGCAAAGAGAAAACATGATATTCAGACAGTTGCCAAATAAACTAATTATAGCACAAATACTGTAAGGTGCCTGGCACCAGCAACCCGAGAGTGTTAAAAAAAAAAAGTGTTACAAGGTTTAAGAAAAAAGAAAAAGAAAACATCTTTGCTAATTTTTAGTCCTGTTGAACATTCATGAAGTTGTTAATATGACTTATATAGACCCACACAGGTTTTATTTTTGTGTCTTTAAAATAAAAGTCCAAAATATTTAAATTTTATGGTCAAATATGCAGTCAACAGCTGCTACTTTTTTCTTTATATATTAAATTTCTCATATGTCTTTTATTGTTCTAATAAACCTAAGCTTGTGTGACCTCCAGTGCATATTAGACCATTCACTGTATGAAAGAAAACATGTTGAATAAATTTGTGAGTTTTTAATAAAAATAGAAAATCTGATGTTTAGATAACTGGTGTTTAATTTGCTCTTTTGATGGTGGAAGGGAATCCTGGTAATGAGTGCAATGGTCTCCACCGAGGTGGGGAGTAAATTTGAAGCAGGAAGAGGAAAGGTCGTTTGGGGGAGTATGTCTGGTGCTTTGGTTAGAGGGCTAACACTTCCTTCAGTCTCCCACCCCTACCGCGACCCATTCCCAAGAAAGCAGAGTGTTTCTTTGTGGCTTCCTTCTGTCAATAAGTGCAGATTTGCATTTGGGGACTTGGCTAATACAGTGGAAGAGATGTTCACTGATAAATTAATACAGAATTGGAAAAGCAGACTAAATCCATGGCTAAGTGAGAATGTTTGAGGGTCTATGGTTAGGCACACACACACACACACACACAAATCCAAAGTTAGTCATTCAGTCTGTCCGCATGCTTGCTTCCCCTTTCTCTTAGCCTGTACAAAAACTTTATCATGAATGCCAGAAATCTGTAAATATATAGCTAGGGATGGGTAGTTCTCAGTTCAATTGGCTTCTCATAGGTAATCCTACTTTCTAATTTGGTAGCTTGAAAGATAACATAAAATGAATGTACAATGCAGACAGAAATGAAATATTTTAATCCCTTTCTCAGAACTGATCAGAAATCATTGTTTTTATAGCATTTTTTATATTTGAAGTTTGGGGGTGGGTGGAGGCATAGTTTTCCTGGCTCTGGATATCTATTGAGTTTCTCTGCAAGAAGAACAAAAATCATTACATTAGTACAGAAATCAAATTTCAGCTGTGAAAATATCTAAATCCTTTCCAAAACTTCATTAGATATGGGAAAAGTTTAAATATTTTACCTACTATAGAATAGGTATAAGTTTGTCTATTATTCTCCAGGTGTCAGAAAAGTAATGTAGACCCAGCTTTTTTCTATAGTTCAATCCTTTATCTCCCAGATTCCAGTCTGAGTTATTTTCTTATTTAAAAAATAAAAACATTTTACATTATACGTATGTAATTTCCAGTGCTGTTTTCATAGTTTGTTAAGAACACAACTGAGTTTATCTGTCTGGCAGAGAAGAGCATTTAAAGTGAGTAATATTTCACTACATCCACAGGCTGTCTTATCTAATAAGGTAAAATAGAAACTATCTACAAGGGATCTGGCAGTGTTCTTTCAAAAATCAGAATTTATTAAATACCAGAGAGACTTTTTGAAACTCATAGTCTCTGTGTGCAACTCATTTCTTTATCTGCACTATGAGATACATTGGCTTTGGTGGGGGGAGCATTTTGCATTTATATAAATTAAATCCCTGGCAATTTATTCATTAAAGGCTTTCTTTTCTTTTCTTTTCTTTTCTTTTTTTTTAAGGAATTCATTTTACTGGACGGATGCTCATTGGGAAGCAGGGTTTTCATATCAGAACTGCTGAATTATTTAGCAGTTTTATTGTTGAATCAGGTATTTTATTTGAAGCATTTTACCATCATGAACAATGTTTGGACTCACGGCTTCTTACTTCCCATTGTAGCAGTTTCTCTCTCTCTCTCTCTCTCTCTCTCTCTAACTCTCTCCCTCTCCCCCCCACCTCTCAGTCTGTTTGTCATACACACAGACACAGAAGAACAGAAATACAAGCCTTGGCTAAGACCTGGAACAGGTGGTCAATCCCATTGAAAACCCAGGAATATGGCTAACTGGGAGATGCAAAGTCCTTTCCTTTTCCCATCAGAGCTCTGAATGCCTTGGGCACAAGGTAATGGGAGGGCAATTCATGGTCCACATCCGAGCCTGTGGAGTATAGGTGGTGAGACCAGCAAGAGAGTGGAGACATTTGATAGTATTAAAATATCAAAGTCAAAAGGGGAGGCTCCCTTCACCCTCAGGTCATGAGATCTGGCTCTTCCCTATAGCCATCTTAAACTGCCTTTCTTTATTCCAGATGTAGCCTGGGTCTCTTTCTGAGAAAGTTTATTTACCAACAGAGGGATCTGCTTGTGTCTAGAAACTGTAGGGCTTTCTCCTTTCCACCACTCTTCTAAGCCTTGTGGAGGCTGAAGATTTGCTTAAAAAGGGGAAGGGAAGTGGTGACTAAGTGTGTATGGGAAGGGGGCAGTGTGTGAAAAGTAAGGCCTTATCAGAGAGAAGGAGAGGATCAGGACAGGTTTTAAGAGGGAATGGAGACCTAAATAGGAGTAAAAACCTTAGGGGGGGGGTGCTGGCGCTGGCTGGAAGTACAGATGGAAGAGACTTGGGTGGCAAAGGTTAAGTAAAGTCCCCTGGATGAGTTAGTGAACTAGAAAAGAGAAGGTGGAGCTCAACATATAGGGTCAGTCAAAGGCATAAGCTGGGGGATAGAGGGCAAGTACCCATAGGAAGAGAAAGAATCATGTTTGTGGTTCCTGCTTTCAATCTCTGTTCTCCCTGCTCTGCTCTGTCCCCTGCTACCATCTTGTCATGGAGGGAGAAAAGAGTGATGATGATCTACCATTTCTTCACTCTCACAGTCAAGTCTGAGGGACCTTATACACATTCTTGGTCCTCTATATGGAGGGCCACCTCCACCCCCACACCCCAACACAGGCAGCTTCGGTGATCCAGAGTAAGGAGATAAGTATCAGGGCAGGGGAGTGAGCATTTGTTTTTCCCTAATCCTGGTGTCTGATTTTCCAGGCTTTTCTTCCTCCTACTTCCTCAATTGCCCCAGCAGTCTATGGTTGGGGCTTAGCTGCTCTTACTTTTTCCTCTTTGGGTGGCCAAGTAGTATTTATGAGATTAGAACTGAATGAGATCTTAGATATTTTCTAGTACAACTCTTTCATTTTACAAGTGAAGAAACTGAGGCCCAGGTCAGACTAGTATTTGGTAATGGAGTTGACTCAAAAGCTGGTAGATCCAATGATCTTTCCAGTACACCTAATTGCTTCCTGAGCTTCTCTCCCTCCACCCATTTCTTGGGGGGAGGGGCTCTCTACCCTCACCTCTGGGTGTCATGGAGCTGAGAAGTCTAGAAGCTTCTGTGCTTTGATGCCCAAGCTCCAGAACCCAGCCATCTGTGGGAAATAAGAGTTTGTTATTCTTTAGTCTTGCCAGAGGAAGACAAAGAGAATTAGGAACTGCAAAAGGTCAGACCTGATTAAAAAAAAAAAGGCTCTGGATTATTTCTATAGGCTCCTTCCCATCACCAATGTGCATCATGATGCCCGAAAACTCCTATGTTTGTAAATACCAAGTCTTTACCTCCATTCTCCCTCCTCCCTTCACTGCTTCCTCTTTCCCTCCTCAAGGTGGTCGCTTTTTAAAGAGTTCATAACCCCCAGAGAAGCAAAAAGCAGCATGATTTTATGGAAAGGGGACTGGATTTGGCATCACGAGACCCGAGTTTGCATTCTGCCTCTGCTACTTACTACTTCTGTGACTGAGCAAATTTTTCTGGGCCTGTTTATTTACATGAAAATGAAGGGGCTGGATTTGGTGACATCTAATAAATCTATATCCATACTAATATTAAGAAAAGAGAGAAAGCTGGCAATGGAGAAAGAACAGAGATACCTTGAAAATGAAGGTGGGAAAAGAAGTTTCTTCATTTAAAGCCAGTTTGGGTTGCCAAGAGAAGTAGTCTACACCAACGCACAAGTAAGCATACCCCCTCGGGGCCACAGACTTGGCACCTCTAGCTACTGTAGTTATTATTACATTTATAGAGAGCTTTAAACACATTATCTCATTTATTTCTCACAACAACCCTGTAAGGTAGGTAGTGAGAATGCCACTATCTCCATTTTATAGATGAGGAAACTATCACAAGGGATGGGGTAAAAACTGCCTCTGAATTCCTGAATTATTTTCCAGGCTTTGATTGAGACCCATGTGTCCAGCAACTTCCATTCAACTTTCCAAATCTTCCAGGTAGATCAATTCTAGGAAAGCTAGCCCTTCTTCCTTTGCTTCTCTAATTTTCAGGAAACTAATCCTTAACTTGAGAGTTGCTTAGGCTGAGGAAAGATTCTGATCATAAAGAGGGTTATTCATTACTTCAGGAAGAGGGTAGAATGGAGGAATGGTGGAATGGAGGAATGGTGGAATGGAGTTCAAAATCTGTGGTATCTTTGAATATGCCTGACGTTCCTTAGGGACATGGAATGCATCCCATAGTTAAGCACTGGGACAAAGTAGGCTCAGTTAGCACCCAAGATCCAGTACTTTCAGACTCTAGGAATTTACTGGACACCTGTCTCTTTCTGTAGATCTGGAATAAAGTCTGATTACACTCAGGTCTAGGATCTGATCACAGGATCAGATATGTAGAGGTGGAAGGGAGCTTAGACATCATCCAGTTCAACGCTCTTATTTCACACAGGAGGAAACTGAGGCCCAGAGAAATTACATTATCTGCCCAAGGTTACATAGGTAGTAAGCCTAGAGGTGGGATTTATACCCAGGTCTACTGGCTTCAGTATTTCTTCCACTTTTCATGCTACCTTTTTTTCTTTCTTTTTTTAAGGTACACCAAACATTTTATTTTCCTCAGTTCAGGAACGTTAATGGGCAAATAACTCTTTAGATGGGCTTTGCAGGGGGTCTGAAGCAGGGTGGGTGTGTCTGATCCTTTTGTGCCTCAAGGGATCAATTCCTCACCACCTTGCTGTGGCTCCTGAAGCTCATATAGCAGTGTAGCTTCACATGTAGTTTGGGTAGCACATAGGAGCCCTAATGGCCTCTGTTTCCTTGGTGCTGCGGATGATGAACTTCCTGTTGCCTTGTTCTTGGGCAGGCAGCAGGTGGGCTGCACATGGCTTCAACCCTTCTTGGAGCACCCGTTGCTCCTCCTCTTCTTGGTCATCTTGTAAGCCAGGAACCGAGAAAGGCTTTTTTTTCCTCTATTTCTTAAAAAGACTTCTTTGTTTCAAAGATTTTGTGTCTTTGTGCATGACCTAAACAGGATTTACTTCCAAAGACTTTCTGCTGTCCCACAGTCATAGAAACTAAGGCTGTAGTTCTTATTTCCCAGATTTTCTTCTGCCCCGCTGTCAAAAAAAAACCTTCACCCTGGGAGTTCCCTCTACCACCTCTGGTCTTCACACATTGAAGTACCGTCCACCCATTTGGCCTTTCTCTTCAACTGGCTGGTTCCTCTGAGAGCCACCATTTTGAGGACGTCCTGGCCAGCCATACTTTCAATCCTCTCCAGACTGCATTCTTGACTCTGGATGTTTATTATGCCCCCCAGCAGGGTGCTAGCATTTCTCCCACTTGTACATTTTCAGGTTCCATTTACATATCCTATAAGGGATGGACTATCTTTCTGCTTCTATTTGTATTTCCATCACTTAGCTCAGTGACTGACCCATAGTGCTTAACAAATGCTTGTTGATTTGACTAAGGGACCCTCAGTGGATCCAGGAAAAGGGGAACTTAAAGGTGTGTTGGACTTAACCATTGTCCTTAGTGCATACTCTTATTTGCCTGTCCGAGGGGGAGTTATTTCGTCTTTGTTTGGTGTGTACTTCTCTTCATGTGTGCATCCTGAGTGTGTCTATGGGTATGTAGGGGTATGAACACATACACAGAAAGGTAATATGAAACGGATAAAATGCTGGATTTGGGAGTCAGGAAGGGCTATATCTGAATCCTGCCTCAGACACTTACTAGCTGTGAACTCTGGGTAAGTCACTTAACTGTTCTGTCTCACTTTCCTCATCTGTAAAAAGGGGGTAATAATAGTACTTGTCTTTTGTTTGTGAATTGGCTCACATGAGTATTGTAGGTATAGTACTTTGTAAAGGTGCTATGTAAATGTTAATTATTCTTATGTATGTTTAGTTATATGTGGGAAGGGCCTCCACACTTTTGTTTCAGGATGTCTAAGGTTGTAGTTGACTTCATCCTTGGATGGAGGAATCTGGGATGATCTCTGTGCCTTGAATGAATTCAGTGTGATAACAGTAAATAAGCATTTATCTTTTTATAAAGGTTAATATTTATTGCTAAGTACTTACTTTTGTAGTTTTTTGGGGGGTGAGGCAATCGGGGTTAAGTGACTTGCCCAGGGTCACACCACTAGTGTCAAGTGTCTGAGGCTGGATTTGAACTCAGGTCCCCCTGACTCCAAAGGCCGTAGCTTTGCCCACTGCACCCTCTAGCTGCCCCAAATAAGCATTTATTAAGTGCCTACTATGTGCCAGGCACCTTGCCAAGCCCTGGGGATACAAAGGCAAAAAATAGTCCCTATTCCCAAGGAGCTCACAATCTGATGGAGGTGACAACATGCAAACAATTACGTACAAATGAGCTATAGATAGGACAAATAGGAAGTAATTAACAGGGAGAAAGGCACTAGAATTAAGGCGGAAATTTAAGCTGAGATTTGAAGGAAAACAGGGAAGCCAGGAGGCAGAGGGTGGAATACATCTCAGGCATGGGAATCTGTGAAAATGTCCCAGTGGGCAAGTGGAGTTTCTTGTTTGAGCAACAACAAAGAGCCGAGTAGCACTAGATAAAAAATCTGGAAAATGTGTCGTGTAGGACGATGCCCTGTTCAGGCTCTTCCAAGGCAGGCCAGGTGCGCCTGCCACACGACTCCCGCACTCCACTGCTCAACCCCGCTCCAGCGGCACCAGCTTCTCCTTCTTCCTCTTTCTCTATTTATCATTCGTCAAGAGCACCCTTAACCCCGCACAACCAAGGGACTCCTTGGAACCGCCAGAACAGACCAAAAGACACGCAAGCACATCGTCCCTGCAGGCTACCGAGAGTGCGGACGCACAACTACCCACACGCCCCCAACGCCCACCCCACCCTACGCACGCACGCGCACAGGCACGTATTCTCGCACGCACGCGCACACGTTGTCTCCGTTGAATTTCCCTCTCGCCTCTTCTCCCCGCCCCTCCCTTCGTATGCCGTGACGTAACGGATAGCCCCGCCCCTACCGTCTGCCGCGCCTCCCGGAAGTTGCCGGTGTTGGAGCCACGATCCGGAGCGTGAAGTCGGGGCGGGGGTTGGCGGAGCAGCTGCCGGGGAGCCGGCGGCGGAACGCGCGAGGACCAGGCAGGCTTGGGGCCCGAGATCATGGCAGCCTCTCAGCCCCTGTCGCGTCAGCTGGAGCGGCTGTTGGACCCGCGGCCGAGCGAGGTGGACCCCGAGGCGGATCCCGAGGAGGGTGAGTGCGGAGGCTCGGCAGGGCCGGGGACCACGTGCAGAGGGGGCGCTCTCTGCCCCCCTCCGAGCACCGCGTGCCTGGGGGAGGGGCGAGGGCAGCCCTTGGCCCGCGGCCCAGCTTCTTGCTGGGGTCCGCGGCCTCTGGTGTACCCCTCTGATGTACCCGCGTTGCCTGGGGCCTGGGCAGGAGGCTCTCCTGTGGGAGTGGGCGTCGTGGGGCAGCAGCCTGAGTGCTGGGTTGGGGTCACGGGAACTGGGTTAGAATCCTGACCCTGAGCTCCTAAACAGTAAACGCTGCCATTTTCCTTTATTTTGATCCTTAGCTTTCGGTAGGCGCTTAGAGACCTTGGGCGAACCAGGCAGCCTAAAGCATTTATTAAGCTTCTGCTGTGTGCCGAGCTCTGTTCGAGACGCTGGACATACAGAAAAAGGCAAAGACAGTTCCTTCCCTCGAGGCACTTAGGTTCTAATGAGGGGGAGACCATGCAAATAAGACAGGCATTGGCTGTGGAGTTAAGAGGACCTGGGTACAAATCCTGCCTCTGTCATTCACTGACTGTGGGATCTGGGACAAGTCAGGCTTTCTGAGCCTCAATTTCCCCATATGTGAAGTGAAGGGGTTAGGCCAAATGGCCTCTGCGAAGCTTCCAACTCTAAATCTGTAAGCTTATGATTTTCTGAATTTACTATATATAGCGTGTATATGAAGAACCTGGTTTGTTGTTTAGATCTCCCCCCCCCTTGCATATTTCGTTATATACAGGTGGGTCCTAAGAAAATAAATTGAGGCTGTACATCTTGTTGAAATCTGATGTGCTGCTTGGCTCCACTTTGGAGAGTCAGATATTGGGTGACATCTTGGAGTTGGTGTAATGGCAATGAGAGGGCATATGTGGATAGCTGTCCTATTGATGATGGACCTTTTTAATGGCTCCCCTCCCCCCCTTTTTTTCTTTCAGCCACTGCTGCTCGAGTTATTGACAGATTTGATGAGGGTGAAGATGAAGACAGTGACCTCCCTCGTGTGGGAAACATTAGGAAAAGGGCCTTTGCCTCTCTCTTAGATACAGACAAACGATATTCAGGCAAGACTACTTCTCGAAAGGCTTTGAAAGAAGACCTGTGGGAACAACCTCTATCAGAAATGTCTGGTGAGATAGACATTACATATATCTAACTCTTTCTCTCCCTATCTCCTGTTTCTTTGGGGATAAAAGCCTTTGAGAATTGCCAATCCAACAACAAACATATATTGGCCACCATATATAAGCCATTAAGGGAAGATAATAAATTCAAATGAGATATATGAAACCTGCCATTAAGTAAACTGCAGTCTAGCAAGGGAGATGAGATATGTAGGCAAATACCAAGTACAATGTGATAATCGTATAAGAAGGTTATGAACAAAATGCTGTGAGAATTCAAAGAAAGGAGAGGTCAGTTCTGGCTGAGGGGAGGGCAGTGGCATTTGAGCTTGACTTGCGCTTTGCCCAGACTGATTAGTAGTATTTCATTGGACAGAAGAGGTAGGAGGGCATTCTAGGTAGAGGGAGCAGTGTAAGCAAATGCCCAGAGGCAGGAAAATAATTGTATATGTTTTGGAAATCTTAATTAAGCTTGGTTGCATCATAACATGTGAAGGGAAGTATTGTGAGATGGTTGGAAAGATAGGTTATTATAGCCAGGTATGAGAGGTATTGGTTTGGAAAGGTTATCATAGCTGTAGGATGGATTGGAGCAGTAAGACCAGTTAGGAATTAGTTTTAGTGTATAGGAGAGCTTGGTGCTGTGGTTCCCCAGGGTCTTGGAAGACATCATGTGATTTTAGAGCTGGAAGGAAATGTCCAATCCAACTCACTTATTTTAGAGCTGAGGAAACACTGGATTCTAGAGAGAATTTGTGATGCAGTATCTCCTTGTTCAGACTGTCCTATAGTTGAGTAGGGATGAGGAAATGCAGATGGGATGCTAGAGAAGCATTATGTTCTGGTAAGCTTAGTTTTTACTTGGGATATTGACTCCTTAGATTGTTTCCTGCTCCACCATTGTTTCATACTAGCTGACTTAGTTTTATCATTGGTAAAAATAAAAGTAAGCCATGTTTTCTTTCTCCACAAAAGGGGCTTATGAGAATGAATAAACTAATGTTCTTAAAGCACTGAGTTCCAGAGGAGTGGCAAGTCAAGTAGAAGAAGCTGAAGATGGTGGTCAAAGGGTGTCCCCATTTGGAACGTTTTCAGTAAGGCAGGGCAAAACGTTGGACTGTCCTATTGTGAACTCGTAGTCCCTGACAAAGAAGTTACACGATGTTAGGGATATAATAGCTGGACGTTTTCCTTATTTTAGCTCTGGGATCAGCTGGTTACCCTATTTTTTATTCTTCAGCTGTAAACTGGTCTAAGGATCAATAATAAGACGTACAAAGGATGGGAAAAGGTGCCTTCCTGATCTATGTGACAGAAGAATTAGTATTGCTTTAAAAATATATGCCTTGCTGTGGAGTCACAGATAGAGTTGAAAGAGACTTTAGAAGTCATCTAGACCATTGCTTTAATTTTCTACAAAATGCCTGGAGAGAGGCACTGACTTACCTAAGGTCACACAGCAAGTTAGTGGCAGATCCTGGACTAGGAACACTGATCTTTTGACTTCCTAGGTCAGTGCTCTGTGTGTGTCTTATTCTGTTCCCCAAAAGGGACTACTGAATTTTTCCTGTGCATTTTTGATTTGCGTAGTGTGCCTCAATGCATTGAGAGTGAATTGAGGACCTCCGGAGGTAGTCTGGTAGTCCTGCCTCAGTGCTTATTCAAATGTAAATCGATTACATAGTTGTACTATGCTTTGTGTTTCTGTGCAATTTTTCAATCTAGGAGTAAAACCCAACCATCCTGTTTTCTATAGACTTTGGTAGTTTGTTGGACCTGCCAGTTAAGCAATAAATACTTATTAATTGCATACTATCTGCCAGGTGCTGTGTTTGGCATTAGTAATACATCCGGTCAGTGAAACATTGGAACTTCCATTCTAATGAAGACAACAAAGACAAATGTAATTATGTAGAGAATAAATATGTATAGAAAAAATACCGACAAATACAAAGTGATTAAGTGCAAGCTGTTGGGTGGATCAGGAAAGGTCTCATGCAGAAGATGGTGCCTGAGCTGCATCTTGAAGGAAGAGAGGAAAGCTATGAGGCAGAGCCTAGGCCTGGGGCAGAGCCAGTGCAAAGGCTTCAAGACAAGAATGTTCTGTGTGAGGAACAATAAGGTGGCTAGCTTGACTGGATCACAGCGAATAATATACCAAGAATCTGGAAAGATAGGTTGGGGGCCAGGTAGTAGAGGGCTTTCAAAGCTAAATGGAAGAGTTTGTATTTTATCATAAAGGCAGTGGAGAGCCGTTGGAGTTGAATGAGTTAGGAGAGTAACCAGACAATACTTTGCTAAAGTCTCTTTGACAGCAATGGGGAGCAGAGGTGTCAAATTCTCCCAAGTAACCAGATTAAATTGTAATTGGGAAATGTTTAACAACATCAATAAAAATTTCACACAACCTAAGTAATGTTAATGTGTGGTTTTCTAAGTCACTATTTAGCCTGCAGGGATCCTTTTCTATTTGCATTTGACACCACAGGTGTGGAGGATGAATCTCATTGGGGAGAGCCTTGAGGCAAGGAAAGCAACTGGGAAAAGACTTTTGCAATAATCTAGGTGATAAGAATTAAGCTGTGAGGAGAGCGAATTGGATGCCAGCAATGTGTCGGCAAGGACTGGATTTAACAGTCATTGGCTGAGTGAGGTGAGAGAGAGCAAGGAGTTCAGGATAATGCCAAATTTTCCGGTTGGGGAGCCTGGAAGATGGTGTTGTCTTCCACAGAAATACGGAAGTTTGGAAGAGGAATTCCATTAATGAAAGCATTTCCTTTCCAGATGCAGATCTGATACCTGTCCCCATTCATTCCCAAAGGTTTTCCTTTGCTGTCTCATGGTGATGGATGTTCTCAAAGACTATGCCATTAAGGCCTAAACTCATGGTATACCAGGAAGACTTGGAATAAAGGCCTGGTGACAGATTATGTGGCTCTTGAGGGGATCTTGTAGTTAGGTGGGGAGGGATTAATTACCACATGCTTTAGTTAATCACTAAATATTTATTAAGCACTTTGTGCCAGGCACTGTGATAAGTTCTGAAGATACAAAAGACAGTCCCTGCCTGTATTAAGAGAAGACTAGTCCTGGGTGGAGAGACATTCAGACACAGGGATCAAGGGTATTTACCACTTGAGAGTTTAAGAGAAACAGTGCTTTTTAAAGAGTAGGTTGGGGAAGGTCAGTTTCATTACGTTTTTATACCTAATAGAGAATTTTGGAATTGCTGAATATCTGAATCCACGATCCATTTCTGTATGCTTTTTATTACACTTTGACTTGAAATGCTAGGATTTTCCTCTGCAGAGGGGATCCTGCAAGATTTAGGTAGATTATGTTGTAATTTTGGAGCCTTATGACTCCATTATTTTTCTTTCCCCCATTTCACTTGATACAGTGCCTTGCACATAGTAGGCACTAAAAGTGTTTGTTGAATGTATGAAAAACTGAATGAATAAATGAATGATTATCTCTTATCAGGACCATAACATCAGTGTTTAGTCCCTCCCCCACTTCAGTCCATCTTGTTAGCCAAGGCAGTATCAGTTTTCCTAAAGACTAGTTCTGATTATATTATTCTCAGTTTGGAGCTGTAATGGTTCCTTATCTCATTCTTAAGTAAGTCCAAGTTTCTTTAGTTAGATTTTCTTTCAGTGCTTTTCTTGCTCTGGCCCCGGTGTATCCATACAGGCTGTCTTCTGTTCTTCTTCTGTACTTGTCTGTGTTCCAGGCAAACAGTACCGTTTGTCATTCTCTGGATGTGGTTTTCTCTTTTTTTAACCTCCTTACTTTTTGTTCATACTTTTCCCATTTTAAATGGACAGCCTCATGGTAGCTCAAGGTAGGTGGGGGAGAGGATTCTAGGATGATGGCAGAGTAGGTCAGAAAACTTTCAGCTCTTCAGATTTTCTCTACCAAAAAAAAAAAAAGACAGAACATTGCCTCAGAGCAGCAGAAATAAACAAAGGGTAAAGCAGATGACCTTCTAAGATCCAATCCCCAGGGGCCAAGGTTTGGCCTGAGTGAAGTACAGACCCCTCTAGGGGAGTGGAAGGGGTCTGACAACTGAATAGATTGAAGGATCTTCCACTGTCTGAGCATGCCAAGCGCGGCTGTGCTGACCAGATGTGTCCTGGACTGTGGCTGCACGGAGAAGGATCTAGCACATATCTGGTGAGTGCAGTAGCAAGGGGCAGAGACCCTGTTGACTGTGGGCACTTGCAGGAGAGCAAAGTCTCTGTTTTCAGTTGTGGGGCAGAGAGGACAGCTGTAGTTTGCAGCCACTGGAGGGACTTCAAGGAGCAAGATCATTTGCAGGACAGTGTAGCTAGGGGCCGTAGCTGTGGCTTAGGAGTAGAGAAGAGAGTCCAAGGTGGGTCCTGAGACAGACCTCAGAAAATAACAGTAAGAAGGGCCTAAGGCTTGGGGCATCATTCCCAATACTTCCAGACTACAATTTGATTACACTAATAGCTGTGAACAACAAAATAAAACAGTAAATAAATAAATAAATACATGAGTAAGCAAAGGAGAAAGAATCCAACCATAGGTAGTTACTATGGGGATAGAGAAGTTCTGGATCTATATACAGAGGAAGATAGTGGAGCTAAAAAAAAAACCACTCCTTTTTCAATGAGAAATGTCAAATGGTCCCAAGCACAAAAAGAGTTCTTGGAAGAACTTAGAAAGGACTTTGAAAATCAAATAAGGGAGGTTGAGGGAAAATTAGAAAAAATAAGAGCAATCCAAGAAAATTATGAAAAGAAAGTCAGCCAACTAGAAATAGAGGATCAAAAACTTCCTTAAGGAATAAAATAATTCCTTAAAAATTAGAATCAGGCAAGGGGAAACTAGCGACGTTCTAAGACACCAAGAAATCATAAAACAAAATCAAAAGAATGAAAAAATAGAAGAGAAAGTGAAACATCTCATTAGAAAAATAACCAATTTGGAGAACAGATTGAGGAGAAATAATATAAGAGTCGTTGGACTACCTGAAAGTTACAGTTAAAAAAAAGAATATACAATATTACAAGAAATTACCAAAGAAAATTGCCCTGAAGTTCTAGAACAAGAAGGCAAAGTAGAAATTAAAAAAAAAATCTACCAATCACCATCTGAAAGAGATCCCAGGAGGAAAACCTACAGGAATATGGTAGTTAAGTTTTAAAGCGCCCAGGTTAAGGAAAAAATATTGGAAGCAACAAGAAAAAAATAATTTAAATATCACAGAGCCCCAATCAGGATTATACAAGACCTAGCAGCTACTGAACTGAAGGATTGTAAGTCTTCGATCAAAAAAGTTGGGTTATGACCAAGGGTAACTTGCCTAGCCAAGTTAAGTATAATCCTGAATGGGGGAAAAATGGACATTTAACAAACTCAAAGATTTTCAGGTTTCTGTTACAAAATACCCCACAACTTAAGGGAAAATTTGATATATAACATAGAGGAGAAATATAAGGTAAGCATTAAAGACCAATTATAAGGGACACCATTACTAGGAATGGGTTAAAGAGGAGGGGGGGGGTAGGGTGTGTCTGTGTGTGTAGCTTAAGGAATAGAATGACAAGGTACGGGGTAGCAATAAAGTAGTGAGGAGGGATAGGGTAAATAGGGTGAGAAGGATAGTGAAGAAAAATAGGAAAAAAATACACAAATAATTGTAGCTTAGAATGTGAATGGGGATGGATAGCAGATTAAAAATTTTCAATAGTATGTTGCTTTCAGGAAACATAAAAATGAAAGATACCCAAAAATATAAAGTAAAGGACAGAAGTAAAATTTAGTGTTTAAAAAAAAGCAGGGGTAGTAATCATGATCTCAAAGTTAAGTTAAAATAGGTTTAATCAAAAGTGAAAAATAGAGAAACTGCACTATGTGTCAGCAATATTATTCAATATTGTTTTAGACCACTTAAAATACTTACATAGTATAAAATACCAGAGCATATACCTGCCAAAGCAGACATAAGAACTATGTGAACATAAACATAAAACACTTTTTATGCAAAAAAATCTCAAATCTAAATAATTGAAGCAATATTTATTGTTCATGGGTAGGTAAAGCCTATATATATATATATATATATATATATATATATATATATATATATATATATTGTGTGTGTGGTTGTGTGTGTGTGTGTAAGGCAGTCAGGGTTAAGTGACTTGCCCAGGGTCACACAGCTAATGAGTATCATGTGTCTGCGGCTGGATTTGAACTCAGGTCCTCCTGACTCCAGGGCCAGTTCTGTTATCCACTGTGCCACCTAGCTGCCCCTAATATAATTTTTAAAATGACAGTTTAACTTAACTAATCTATTTGTTTAATGTCATCCCAATTAAATTACTAAAAATTATTTTACTGAATTAGAAAATAAAACAAATTTCATTTGGAAGAACAAAAGGTCAGGAACTTCAAAGAAATCAGGGAAAAAAGATGGAAAGGAATTAGATTCAGCAGTATCAGACCTTAAATTATAAGGTAAAAGCATTGTTGAACTGTAAAAAAGATAATTTTGATTACTTTAAATTAAAATTTTCTTGTATAAATAAAACCTACATGGCCAAGAATAGAAAGAATACAGAAAATTAGGGGAAAACTTTCATAGACAGTCTTCTAGGTAGGTTGTGATTGGGTTAGAATATTGCTGTGGTATAGGAAATTATAAGTTAGTTGATTTAGAAAATATGGAAAGACTTGGACTTATGAAGGAAGATTCTATCCACCTTCAGAGAAACATGATAGGAGGAAATAAGCATCATACAATCTTACATATATGTGTATGTTTATTGTGTGTGTGTGTGTGTGTGTGTGTGTGTGTATATGTGTATGTATCTCCGTGCTTAATTGTAGCCTTCTTTGGGGTGGTGGGGGGAGGAAGGGGGGAAAATAAAGTAAAAAGTGTACAGCAGAGAACAAAAGAATACCAGAAAGAAAGCAAAGAAAAGCTAGGTAGCTTTGAAAACAGTGTGTAGTATTTATTATATAAGTTTTCTTGAAATGGAAATTTTTTGTTTTGGTCTGCCATGTACATGGCAGTGTTTTTTGTCTTTTTTTCTTCTCTCATTTTGTATTTAAGTTTAAAAATTACCAAAAAAAATATAAAAATCAAGGTAGGTGGAGGAGCAGGATGATGAAGAAGATGAAGAGTTGCTTTGCTCCCCCAGTGCCAGTCTGTTGTAATCTTACCTGAAGGGAAGGCTTAGCAGACATACTTTGTTTTCCGTGAAGTCTTCCTAGATATTCCCCCAACTTGATATTAACTTTTTTCACTGAGTGCACAAGGTGCTTTGTACCTCTCAAATGAATGAATGAATGCAGAATAGATCTAATGGTTAAAGCACTGTGCTAAGTCCTGAGAATACAAATAAAAAAGTCAGACAGTCCCTGCTGTCAAGGAGCTCCCCTTCTGATGGGGAAGACGACACAAAAGGAAGGTTTCAACTTTGAGTTGGAGAGAGGTCTTTTGAGGTCCTTGGAGTGCTGCAGCAAGGCAGGTTTAATGCTGCTTCTTTATGTCGTTTCCACTGACAAAATTCTATCAGTTTCTTCTTTCGTGTCTTTTCCACTGGTAAAATCTTGTCAGTTTCTGGTGTTGAGTTGTTCAACAGAGCCAATGGCTTTGGTGGCAAGAACTTTCTGAATCTTTAATAGCTGTGGCTGTAATACCTGCCGGATCACTTGCCAGGCTGCCTCTCCACCAGGATGGGTTGCTTCTTAGGACTAAAGACATTGGGCTGGAAGCATTACTGTTCCCAATCCTCTTGGGCCCAGGGCCCTGGGCTTTCTCCATCAGGGTCTGAGGGGAGATGGTAGTCCAGGTGTGGTGGTGGTAATGATGGCTTGACTTATCTGGCCCATGCTGCCTCTTGTCTTTCTCAGATGCCCTGCTGCTTCAGTGAGGCAGGTTTGAATGGCAGTTGATGGTGATAACTGGCCCCTTCTCCATAGGAATTACCTTCACACAGGATGGCTGTGAGGGATGAGCTGGCAGCAGGACCTGTGGTCTGAAGGTGCTGCTGCTTTTAGGACTCCTGTGCCTTTTTAATTGTTGATGGCAATCAGAAAGGGGTGATGGAGGTGATAAAGAAGGTGAGCCCTTCTCCTGAGGGATTTCCCTACTCAATTATGGCTCAGTTATGTGGGGCTGGTCTAGAGTCAGGTCTGGTGGTTTTGGGGAGTACTGCTATTTCCAAGGCTCTTGGGTTAAAATCCTGTACTGCTTCTCTATCAGGAATATAAAGGGAGATGATAGTCAAGTTGCTACTGGCTGTGATTTGACTTGGTTGGTATATTTTGCCTCTTGTATCTCCCACAGGGTGTCTTGCTGCTTTGTATTTTAGGTGTTTGTCTACTTTCCCTTTTTCCCTTACTAGATTGCAAATTCTTCCAGGGCAGAATCCTTATTCATTTTTGTATCTCTTACAGTGCCTTGTATTTAGTGGATACACAGCAAATACTCATGGAATGAATGTACAGCTACGCCCAGAGTCCCCAGTAAAGGGGAGTTATATTCATACTCTGACTATAAGTCACATATAATAATTATGTACCCTTGTTCTGACAGAGAGAGAGAGAAAAGCCATTCCTAAGATACAAAGACGAGGTTGGTGTCTAGGCTTTAATGGCAGTTTGTACCTTGTGTTTAAGTCTTCCATCTATACCTGTTCCTTAAAAGGTGAAAGAAAGGGAAAAGATTATTAGCTTTAAGCCATGACTTTGAGGAAGTTTGTGAGGTTGTGGTTCACATTTTTCTTCATGTAATATTCATTTTGTCTTCCTTCTTTCCTTCCTCCTTATTAGACAGAGATGCATCTGATGAAGAGTCAGAGAACACAGGGCTAGTGGAGTCTGATGAGGAACAAAGGAGTTCTGCTAAGGAGCTGGAATCAAGTGATGGTGGGGGAAGTGGTTTGGAAGACAAAGGCCAGAGAGAGAAGAGGGACACTCATTCTTCAGGCTTAAGTTTCCAGAGCATCAGTGACTTTCAGAAATTCACTGAGGGAATGGATGATGTTGGCAGTGGTGAGGAAGAAGAAGAAGAAAACAGCATGGAAGAGGAAGCTGATGAGGAAGGAGACGGAGAGGAAATTGAGGAGGCTGTGCCTGAAGACAAAAATGATGATGAGACAGTGAGGACCTTCTCAGGAGGCAAAGTGTCAGAGGAAGTGGAGAAAGGGAGAGCTGTGAAGAACCAAATAGGTTGGTGCCTGGGTTTTGCTGATTGCCAATTTCTCTGTCTGCACATTTGATCTACTTTCTTTTGTTTGTTCTCTTCCTCCCGTGCCCTTCCAATTACTCTGTGACATGCCCCACTTATCTGGAGGCCTAGGGCCCCATTGCTTTATGTTAAGTCAGTCATCTCCATATTGAGTGGCACAGTTGGCTTTGCCCTAATACCTGAGGCAACTAGATTTCGGCTTCAGACTTAAAGAAAATCTTTTTCTTTTCCTCTTGGGTTTTGGAATCACAGATGAATGAGTTGTCACTCCTATGTAATGACCATTTGTTTCCAAAGCAGTGTTTGTTCTTCTAATTTGGGAAACCACTAACTTGGCAAATAACTATGATGGGACTATGCAGGTAAGGGTCCTGGGATTATTACTGTTCTAGGAAAAGACATCATAACTAAGTGATGGCTTTCTGTTTTTCTGATTCTCAGCGCTGTGGGACCAGCTCTTGGAAGGGAGGATCAAGCTGCAGAAAGCTCTGCTGACAACTAACCAGCTTCCCCAGCCAGATGTTTTTCCTATTTTCAAGGACAAAGGCGGGTCAGAGTTTGCCAGTGCCCTGAAAAACAGTAAGGACTCTTATGTACTGAAATACTTATAGAATGAACATATCATTTGCACCCAGGAAAAAGGGAAGAGTACCAAGAATTCTGTAATTCTGTATTATAAGTTTAGGGAAGAATAAGATTAACTCACTAGGTGGCTTGCTTCATTTAGTAAGAGTGTTTACCTTGGTTTAAGGATCAAGCACATCATAAGATGACATTTCTCAAATTGTCCTTTTCTCTAGGTGTGTAGTTTGAAGGGAAGGTATAAAAGCAGATGGAAGATTTCCAGTACTGGAAGAATGGCTGAGGTAGATTTGTACTGTACATATCTGGTCTCCAGTACAAAGGGTTAAGGTAGGGAGTAGTGAGTGAGTTGCAGATATTGGTTGGGAGCACCAAATCCTCTGATCGCCATGATGCCTGTTCATTTTGGTCAATTGACAAGCAATTTTTAAAGCACCTGATATGTGCTGTACTAATTATACATTGTTCTAATTGATTGGGATACAAAGACAAAAATGAAGCAGTCACTACTCTCCAGGAGCTCAAGTTCTGATGGTAGGAATAACAAGTCAAGTCTCCTTAGAAGTTATCTAGTCCAACCTCATTTGACAAGAGATGAAACTGAGCTGGTAGATGTGTGTGAAGGAATTTGCTGAAGGTCACACAGGCAGTAAGCAGTAGAGCTAGGAGGATTCACACCCAGGTCCAGTGACCCCAAGATTAATGCTCTTTCTGCAGCCCCACCCTGCACTGTTACAGAGTCAGAGTCACCTGAGTTGAGAGAACTGGGCAAGGCTTCCTATAGAAGGTGATGATCAGACTGAGTCTTGAAGTCAGGCATGCTAAAAGTTGGGGATGAGAAGGAAGGGAGCGCATTCAAGGGCTGGGGGACAGCCAATTAAAAAGCACTTAAAGATGGAGTGTCATAGGACAGTATGGCTATACTGTAGAGGGCCTGAAGGGGAAGAAAATTTAAAAAAAATTTTTTAAATTAATTTATTTTGATTTATCAACAATCACTTCCATATGCTTTTGAGTTTAAAATTTTCTCCCCCTTCCTCCCCAGGATGACACACAATCTGATATAGGCTATACATTTACATTCCTATTTAAACATATTTTCACATTAATGAAGTTGTAAGTAAAAGTTAAAACCAATAGGAGGAACCATCAGAAAGAGGAAACAGAACTCAACAGAAGAGAAAAAAAATTCACATTCACAGTTATGATTACTATCTGTGTCTTTTTCTCCATCCATTTTTCCCCCTGTTTATGCTTTTCTTTTTCCTTCCCCCCCCACTAATGTTTTGCTTTTGACCACCGCCTCCTTCAGTCTCTCCTTCCTTCTATTATCCCTTTTATCCCCTATTATCTCCCTTACTGCTTCTTCCCTCCCTTCTGTTCCCCTTTCCTTTTCTTTCCCCTTTTCCTTCCTACTGCCTATAGGGCAAGTTAAATTTCTATACCTAACTGATTATGTTATTCCCTTCTTGAGCCAAATCTGATGAGAGTAAGGTTCAAACTGGAATTTTTAAATTTTTAAAATTTTTTTATTTTTAGGCATTTGGGGTTAAGTGACTTGCCCAGGGTCACGAAAGCTAGTGTCAAGTGTTTGGTCTGAGGCTGGATTTGAACTCAGGTCCTCCTGCCTTCAGGGCCAGTACTCTATCCATTGGGCTACCTAGCTTCCCAGGAGAAGGAAATTTTTGTAGAATCTTGGAGTCTTAGAGCTGAAAAAGGACCTCAGGAGGTCATCTAACCCAGTTCGTTATCTACCTTGAGGCAGAATTTCACTTGACTCACTAAAGGCAAATGTTTCCTATTTGTTATTGTCAGATTTCTAAGCCTTGAGATTATAAAATCCTGGACTCGTACAAAAGGATCCAGAGATGATGTGATTATCTCAGCATAAATTTGTTGCTTGCCATCTTAGGGGTGTAGGGCTCTCTAAAGAAAGGCTTATCCTTTTCTAAAGACCAGTAGTTAGAGGGGCACAGCCCCAATTATTAGGCTTTCCAGCTTTTTAAAGAATTACATTATTTTGTTTCACCTTTCAAATAAACTGCCTCCTCTCCTCCCATTTTAAGGCAAGGCAATAAACATCTAACTTGAGGCTTGGGTCTGTGTGGAATGGGCTTGATCTCAAGGAAGCCGGTGGCAGGGCCTTATTTGTAGAGCATGGTTTTGTTCTCCATTCATATTCTTGAGCCAGCAGTAGACTAGCATAGGCTAATAATTTAAGGCATTGAATCAAAAGCTTTTACAACATCATTTCTAAAGATTTTGAGGGAGGGAGGTTCTGGTAACCTCCTTCTTGGAAATACTTAATCAGGAATTACTTCCTTATTGGCTTCATTTAATTATTTCTTTCATTTGTGTTAGCTTTGTGTCATGACAGCTGGAGTATGACATTTTACTTACATATTGTGCCCTTATATTGAGGCACATCATCATCTTGTAAACTTTAAGATGTTACTACTTGACCATTAAAGTGAAGTTGTGCTTTGTAACTACAGGTGCAAATTACTTTATGTTTGGTTTTCTTTGTGGTGCTGTCTTATCAAAATTTTTCTTGGGTTCATTAACTTTCCAAACTTCTGGGTGCTAGATAATTGAAATTTTACTACAGTTCATTTTTCCTGAATTTCACTTTTCCCTATTGGTTGTCATTTGTGGGTAAGGAATTAAATATAAAGGCATTGGTTTGGGAATGTTTGCCACCTTTTGTGTTCTTTGGTGAGGTCTCTTCAGCTTTATGCTTTTGTAGACTCCCCCATTTAAAAATTATTCATATTTTTCCATTAGTTTATATAGTTAGGGCATGTTGGTTTTATGGGGGAAGGCTTACCTCAATGGATCTTCAAATATTTCAGAGATAGAGCATTTCTAGGTATGAAGTTATTTTTAAAAAATATTACCATATTTTTATCCTATAGGGAAAATGGCCACTGCAAACTAAAATACTTATTTATTTCCTCTGTGATTTACCAAACATTAAGAAATTTGCAGCATCAGTTGGTAACACTGTTTGACAGTTTTGTGGGATGTGGCTTAGACAGTCAGATGTTTAGCAAAGAAAATTGGCCTATTCCTCCCTGGCATTTTTTCCTAGCATTTTTAAATAATGAACTCTGGTTCCATATCACCAGCTGCATTTTGGACGTCTCAAACTTGACCTGTCCAAAATAGAGCTCAGGATTTTTTCACCTCATACTTTGTACTCTTTCCAACTTTTCTGATACTTTTGAGGACGCCCCTATTCTCCTCACTCAGTCTCATAACTGAAGAGTCATCTTCAGCTTCTCACTAGAATCCATCCTACACATCCCATCTGTTTTTAAACCTTGTTTCTGCCTTCATGGTATCTCATATGTCTTTACTGACAAAGGTATCTACCTTTGAGGGTTGTTGTGGGGATTGAATGATACCATATTTGTAAAGTACTTTGCAAACCTTAAAGTGCTATGTAAATGCTAGCTATTAATAAATGTTCATTGACTGGCTGAATAAATAAAAATGAAGTTTGAGTCATCCAGCTATAACATAGACCAAAAAGCACTGTGTATTTGGAGTCTGGAGACCTGGGTTCACATCTAGATTTTACCACTCACTAGTTATGCAGTGTTAGGCTAATAATTAAGCCTTTTATGAGCCTCAGTTTTGTTGTATGTATAACACTTTATAAGCTGTTATATAAAAGTCATCCGTTACTTCATTTTAAATTGTTTTAAATTTGATGCTATGAAATTTCATAATCAAATAGTTTTATTGCAGGTGGAATTTTTTGATGGTTTTACCTTTTTTAATGAATAGTTTTCTGTACTCATTAAGTGTATCTTCACTTTAACATTAGGATTGGATTTGGCATCGGAGTGAAATTTATGGACCAGTTTGATTCAGCAAGCATTTATCAAATGCCCATTGTATACAACGGTATGTTGTTAGGTTTAGGAATAGACCTCCTTGTCTAAGTAGATATTACTGTGGATCGCAGGTACCGCTAGCACTCAGGTTGGGAATAGATCTCCAGTGGCCACATTCATCATCCAGATATTTAAATACATTTTTTTGTTGGGGAGATGGGGTGGGAATCATCTATTCTAACAATTTCATTTTACAGATGAGGAAACTAAGACCCAAAGAGGTTAAATGACTTGCCTAAAATCACAACTTTATAGTATATGGGAGAACCAGAAGTAAAGGCTAAGTTGTCTCCCTTCACTCTGCAACTCTACCTTGCCTGTGCCCCTCTGGTTCTGTTCTCTTGATATTCCACATCTGCTTTTTTGTTTGCTGGATTCTGTGGGAAGTAAAAGGGAAGATTTGTTGGTCATTTAACTTCTGAAAAAGGCAGCTTTGCATATTGAATGGATAGAATTGGGGCGAGCTGGATTCAAGTTCTATCACTGATACCTACTGGCTGTGTGACCTTGGATGTCACTTTTATCATTCAGTGCCTTGGGCAATTCTCTGAGATTATAAGTAGCAGAATGCTGATTATCTCTATCTCACCTGAAACTGCTTTCTACACTTCTGATTATGATTCTGAAGTCATAGTCATGGGACAAAAAAAAAATCTTATAATTTGAAGGAAGCTTTCTGTCAGGCATTGGCTTAGTAGCCAGATTTAATAGGGAAATGATGAACAAATTTCACTTTTGGAAAGAGTTGTCCCCCACTCCACCCCCTCAATATAAAGCGCTTTCTGTATATAGATCTGCATGTCTCTAACTTTCTCAAAAATCTAGTAATGTATTGGTGAGAGAATTTCACATTTATTTGTAGATAGCACAGAGTTATAAAAGAATGGCTTATTTTCTTTTGGGAAAGAAGAAAAGCTACTGGAGGAAGAAGCCCTAGCATATGTGACCTAAGTGGGTAGGAGACCTGGAAGAGAGAGAGAGTAGATGACATTTCTGTAACAGGTACATCTCACTGTCTTTATTCAAAATTAGCTCTACAGCTTTAAACGAAGTGATTAAAAAAAGTCAAACTCCAGCCATAATAAGATGACCTTT